GTTAGATTCTGTTTTGTTTGTGCAACTTAAGTTTGTCCCTTTAATGTCTCTGTAGCTTAGTCTCTCCTCCCCACACTATGTTTATATGCATTTTAACAGTGGTTTAGTTAATACACATTATCAGTGCAACTCTGTGATGTCCTGTGTCATTCTTCGGTCATAAAGCCATCAAGTAGTGATAGCACACAAGAAGTTCCATGAAGAGATAAGTGTAATAAATGCCTGACTTTTTCTCTACTGTCTACTGTCACCATCTCTGAGGAGTTCCAGTCCACAAACCTGACTTTGATTAGCTAGACAAGAGGTTAACAATCCCCCGATAAAACGTCCAACAGCCGACATATGGCTTGCTGAAGATGGTTTCTCAATGATGTGGGCTTCTGACTGTGAGATTATGGGCTCTGTCACGTGTGTCCTCAATGCACCATCTTCTTAAAGTAGCCTAAACCCAGGCACTCGGGCAAAGAAAGATTAAAGTCATTGGGTCACTAGATTTTGATCAGGGGCTCTGTTTGTTTGAATGAAATCCCACAGACAGGGCTGATTGTCCCTCAGCATCAAGATTATTTTGATAGGATTCCCTTCATTTCTGATTGGGTTAATCCTGTCCCTTTAAATAACTTTGAATAAAACACAACCTCCTGCTGTTTGTGTGATCAATTTTATTTTTATAGGCTGGTGAACGGGGGAGGGGCCAAGAGGAGTATTTAATGGTTCCAAATGATTATTGGTGGTCAATAGTTGTCAAAAACACCAATTTAAATCTTGGTTATATATTTCTGGTAATCATGATTAGTTATTTTGACATTTATCAATGTCAATGAAGGGAAAGCTTTTGTCACCTAGGTCAAAATTATTACGTTGAAATACCAAAAAAAGACACAATGTCACGCTAATGTGTGTTGCACTAATGTGTGTTGAACTTGCACTGTGTGCTGCACCGACGAATGTTGCACCGACGTGTGTTGCACTGTTTGTTGCACTGATGTGTGCTGAACTAACATGTTTCACTAATGTGTGCTGCACTAATGTGTGTTGCACTTATGTGTGTTGCACTAATGTGTGTTGCACTTATGTGTGTTGCACTAATGTGTGCTGCACTAATGTGTGGTGCACTAATGTGTGCTGCACTAATGTGTGTTGCACTAATGTGTGCTGCACTAATGTGTGTTGCACTGTGTGCTGCACTAATGTGTGTTGCACTAATGTGTGTTGCGCTTTTGTGTGTTGCACTAATGTGTGTTGCACTAATGTGTGCTGCACTAATGTGTGTTGCACTGTGTGCTGCACTAATGTGTGTTGCACTAATGTGTGTTGCGCTTTTGTGTGTTGCACTAATGTGTGCTGCACTAATGTGTGCTGCACTAATGTGTGTTGCACTAACATGTGCTGCGCTAATGTGTTTTGCACTTATGTGTGTTGCACTAACATGTGTTGCACTAACAAGTGTTGCACTAACGTGTGTTGCACTGACGTGTGCTGCACTAACATGTGTTGCACTATTGTGTGCTGCACTAATGTGTGTTGCAATGTGTGTTGCAGTAACATGTGCTGCGCTAATGTGTTTTGCACTTATGTGTGTTGCACTAACGTGTGTTGCACTAATATGAGTTGTGTGTTTCACTAATGTGTGTTGCACTGTGTGCTGCATTAATGTGTGTTTCACTAATGTGTGTTTCACTAATGTGTGTTGCACTGTGTGCTGGACTAATGTGTGTTGCACTAATGTGTGCTGCACTAATGTGTGTTGCACTAATGTGTGTTGCACTGTGGTCTGCACTAATGTGTGTTGCACTGTGCTGCACTAATGTGTGTTGCACTGTGGGCTGCACTAATGTGTGTTGCACTGTGTGTTGCATTAATGTGTGTTGCACTGTGTGTTGCATTAATGCGTGTTGCATTAATGTGTGTTGCACTAATGTGTGTTGCACTGTGTGCTGTACTAATGTGTGCTGCACTAATGTGTGCTGCACTAATATGTGTTGCACTAATGTGTGCTGCACTAAAGTGTGTTGCACTAATGTGTGTTGCACTAAAGTGTGTTGCACTAATGTGTGTTGCACTGTGGGCTGCACTAATGTGTGTTGCACTGTGGGCTACACTAATGTGTGTTGCACTAATGTGTGTTGCACTAATGTGTGTTGCACTGTGTGTTGCACTAATGTGTGTTGCACTGTGTGCTGCACTAATGTGTGTTGCACTGTGGGCTGCACTAATGTGTGTTGCACTAACGTGTGCTGCACTAATGTGTTGCACTGTGGGCTGCACTAATGTGTGTTGCACTAACGTGTGTTGCACTAATGTGTGTTGCACTAATGTGTGTTGCACTAACGTGTGTTGCACTACTGTGTGTTGCACTAATGTGTGTTGCACTAACGTGTGTTGCACTAATGTGTGTTGCACTGTGTGTTGCACTAATGTGTGTTGCACTAATGTGTGTTGCACTGTGTGCTGCACTAATGTGTGTTGCACTGTGTGCTGGACTAATGTGTGTTGCACTAATGTGTGTTGCACTAACGTGTGTTGCACTACTGTGTGTTGCACTGTGTGCTGCACTAATGTGTGTTGCACTGTGTGCTGGACTAATGTGTGTTGCACTAATGTGTGTTGCACTAACGTGTGTTGCACTACTGTGTGTTGCACTGTGTTCTGCACTAATGTGTGTTGCACTGTGTGCTGCACTAATGTGTGTTGCACTGTGTGCTGCACTAATGTGTGTTGCTCTGTGGGCTGCACTGTGTGCTGCACTAATGGGTGTTGCACTAACGTGTGTTGCATTAATGTGTGTTGCACTGTGTGCTGCACTAATGTGTGTTGCACTGTGTGCTGGACTAATGTGTGTTGCACTAATGTGTGTTGCACTAACGTGTGTTGCACTACTGTGTGTTGCACTGTGGGCTGCACTAATGTGTGTTGCACTGTGGGCTGCACTAATGTGTGTTGCACTGTGTGCTGCACTAATGTGTGTTGCACTGTGGGCTGCACTGTGTGCTGCACTAATGTGTGTTGCACTGTGTGCTGCACTAATGTGTGTTGCACTAACGTGTGTTGCATTAATGTGTGTTGCACTAATGTGTGTTGCACTGTGTGCTGGACTAATGTGTGTTGCACTAATATGTGTTGCACTAACGTGTGTTGCACTAATGTGTGTTGCTCTAACGTGTGTTGCACTAATGTGTGTTGCTCTAACGTGTGTTGCACTAATGTGTGTTGCACTGTGTGCTGCATTGATGTGTGTTGCACTAATGTGTGTTGCTCTAACGTGTGTTGCACTAATGTGTGTTGCACTGTGTGCTGCATTGATGTGTGTTGCACTAATGTGTGTTTCACTAATGTGTGTTGCACTGTGTGCTGCACTAATGTGTGTTGCACTGTGGGTTGCACTGTGTGTTGCACTGTGTGCTGCATTAATGTGTGTTGCACTAATGTGTGTTTCACTAATGTGTGTTGCACTGTGTGCTGCACTAATGTGTGTTGCACTGTGGGCTGCACTGTGTGTTGCACTGTGTGCTTCACTAATGTGTGTTGCACTGTGTGCTGCACTAATGTGTGTTGCACTAACGTGTGTTGCACTAATGTGTGTTGCACTGTGTGCTGGACTAATGTGTGTTGCACTAATATGTGTTGCACTAACGTGTGTTGCACTAATGTGTGTTGCTCTAACGTGTGTTGCACTAATGTGTGTTGCTCTAACGTGTGTTGCACTAATGTGTGTTGCACTGTGTGCTGCATTGATGTGTGTTGCACTGTGTGCTGCACTAATGTGTGTTGCACTGTGGGCTGCACTGTGTGTTGCACTGTGTGCTGCATTAATGTGTGTTGCACTAATGTGCTGATGTGATGAATCTAAAGGGATCTTCTACCAGGATGGGTTGATTTTAGTCTGAGAGCAGATGGCACCAACTTTAAACGAGATGCTTACAAATAGAAACATATGTGCCGCACAGTGAGATCTAATCTCTTCTTTACTAAAATCCTGCTTGTGTCATCATCGCTGAAGTGTGGATGATATTCCATCCATCAGGGTATTATTTCACTATCCATTAAACTAGTTTTACAAATACTTATATTCCTCCAGGTTCTACAAGTAGGTCAGTTTTACTGAGGCAAATATAAATTATTTTTCCCTCTCTTAGAAGGAATTAGTGGGATTAATAGGATGCTCAGTCAAATAGAAAAAATCCTGCAGCAGCCAGTCACGTGCGTTAAATGTGGGCTAGCTGGTCAGAGAGAGGGGAGCGTGCTGCCGTGGCAAACCAGGTCAGATTCAGCTCTTCAGGTTATTTCAGATTAATGTCTGCACACATGCACTCATGATAAGAGTCCAAATTTTCATGTGAGCACTAGTCATTACAGTATTGTGAGTAAAATCTGTAATCAGGAGAGTGATTAGTTGGAGGAGAGTGTTGTCTAGCCTGGTTTCTGCTGCAGAGTAAAGGTCTTTGTCATCCAGCACTCCGCTGTGTCTGCCTTGCAGGCTCACATTAGGGTCTAAACCAAGGTTGCACCAGTCTAGTTACAGAAAAAGCCATTTAGATTTCACTCTACATCAAGCTTCACTGCCTTTCAACATAGAGCACCACACACTCACACACACTTAAACTAGAGTCTGTAGCACGTCCTTCCTCATCTAACCCTCATCTGCTAATAGCATTAGCGAACAGGCCGTGCATCGTCGCTCAGACACCAGTCCATTTGCTCTACTTTTCTTGTTTTGGTTTTTCCATCTGTGGAGTCACTGCAGTGCATGTGCTGCAGGGAGGGAGGGATGCATCCCAGATGGGCCCGAACTGATAATCCCTGCAGGAAGGTTTCAGGAGACTTTGATCCTGCAGTCCTCAAGTGAACCACCAAAGTAGAGAGTGGTGTAAATAAATTAATGTTTCAAAACTCTCTAAATGTTTTTGAAATGCTTTTGATAAATCATGGATCAAGTTTGATTACTTAAAACCAGTTGTTGGTTCTTTCTAACCTGAATCCCTTCTCCTCCTCCCCTAAAGGCCTTTGGACAAGCTTATACCAACCACAGAAAGGTGGCAGCAGATGGGGAGAGCCGAGAGGAGTCTCTGATCCAGGAGTCGGCCTGTAAAGAGGCCTACTACGAGCAGAGAGTCCTGGAGCTGCAGAACGAACTCCGTCAGACACGAAACATCCTCACCAACTCCCAGTCTGAGATCGAACGCCTTACTGCCATCTCCCAGGAGATGAAAGAGGTAACAGGAGGAAACACAGACACACCACTGTTCAGTTCCTGGTCCAAAAGGAAATTTGCTGCTTAAATTAGTCATCATTGCTTTTGTGATACAGAAAAAAAAAACATATTCACCACAAATTTACCTTGGGCCATGCACATTTGAGTCGAGATGGAAAGCTGCGCCAGTTTGTGCAGTTTCTGAAATGAATTGTCCAGAGTTGCGTCGTTTTATGGAATGGCTGCTGAGCCCTAAAATCATCAGCTTTTGACATGCTGGGACCAAATCAAACACTTTGCCTTCAAGCCTAACGGGATGTCCTCCACCCTTATTGTGGTTCAAGTCTGAGCTCTAATTCGAGCTGTAATTACAGGGAAACTTTGGGACCGTGGGAATTTGTTTTCATCACAAAGGATGAAAGAGTGCTACAAAAGTTATTAATCTGTAATTATCTTTAATTTGCACAAGTAGCTGCATGCAAATAGTGTTCAGCCTGTTGTGTTGGCTGTGGCGTTTGAGACAGGTCTAATAAATAAAAACCTTAGACAAGACAAACTTGTTAGTGTCTGTTTGAGGCGTGGTCCATTGTTGCAAATCTGAACACACATTCCTGCACTCTTGTCCATCACAGCGGTTATTGGCGTCCTACTTTGGATAACGTCTGACCTCTTCCCTATTTGTATATTCCCAGCTAATCGACCTCATTAGAGGAGACGGGGGCACGGTACAGAACATGGGCTCTGTGGCTTTGCCAGGAGTGATGTGCGGTTTGTGCAGTGAGTCCACTGTGATGATGACAAGAGAGCTTGACAATGTGAAACTGAATAGATAGTAATGTGGAAACATTTGACACAAATATAGGAAGACACAGGTGGATGAGAACGAGGAAGGCAAAGAGGGGTACGTCCCCTTAGAGGGCTTTCTTTGAGCATCAAGTCCATGCTCTCTTGGCAGCCAAGTCAAAGCTGGAATAACAATGAGTGAACTTGAAGAAGCTGCATGTTTCAGGAGTCTCATTTCATTACCGGAGAGGGATCAGACTTCTCAGGCTGCATTTTGGATCTGGGATTTAGTGCATCTGCTGGAATTCTGTAGTTCCAAAAAAAATTTTTACAGTTTAAAACAGTTTTTAAAAAAATAATTTCTTATAATTGTCTGCCCGTGAGATTATTAAACCCATCTTCCCTGTTTGTGCAGAGTAGATTAGCTGAGTCTTCCATTTTGTAGGTCAAGTCTTTAATAAGAAGGAGAGGGTATGGAGTTTAGGAAGAGTACCCTCCTCCTTACACCACATCCAGCTGGACCGTGCTGCTGTTTTCTGAGTCACCGTCTGAAACAGATGTCAGCATCACTGGGATTAGAGAAAGACTTAAAAATGGCATGTCCCTCATGCTGACTTAAGTTCTGAAAACGTCCAAATACCAACATAATTAGGTCAGCTGCTGCTCATCTGTGTGAGCCGACTATTACAGAGGACAGATGTGCCTAACAGACAGCTCCAAGGCATTAAAAACTCACCAGCCATCATATTCACTGTTGCTTCCCGCAATTATATCAGATATTCTGAATCCAACATCCGAGGTTTTCTGATCGTGGATAGTAGGGTAGGTCTGATTCACTGATTGTGTCACTAGTGGTTTTCACACTTCACACAACAACCAACCAGCTCCCAGAGGGCTCTAATTGGTCAGATAAAAGGATCTGGGGTATTATATTGCTTCATGTGTTGGAGATAATGGCACAGCTCTAATGGTACTTTATTGGGTGTGAGGCGTGTGTGTGGTGGGCAACGGGAAAAAGCCAGGGAACCGAGGCTTGCATTGTGACCGGATCAGCAGGCCTGAAAGGAGCCTTTGTGTGCAGGATTTCAAATTAGCCCCAAAGCCCATGCTGGAAGAGGAGGAGGGCACTTGGTCCCACTGAGATTGGCACAAAACAGCCCAGGACCCAAAGTCTCTTAGTGAAATACAGATAATTAGTTGTTAGTGTTCAGATTTTCTGTGGAAAGTATGGCTAATCGTAAATTAACGGATCAATTTTGATGCATTCATTATAGACAGTTATAGCTGACGGTTGGGCTGTAAATGACATTGTTATTCCACAAGGTCAATCTGGAAACCCATGATGAATTTTGGGATAAAATATTTAATGGATGTTCCATATCTATCGATCCATCCATTTTCAGCTGCTTTTCCAGGGTCGGGTCGCAGGGGCAGTAGTCTAAGCATGGAGCCCACATTTCCCTCTCCCCAGTCACTTGGACCACCTCCTCCGGGGAATCCTAAGGCGTTCCCTGGCCAGCTGTGAGACATAGTATCTCTGATGTTTTCCTGGGTCTTCCTTTAGGTCTCGTCCCGGTTGGACGTGCCAGGAAAACCTAACCAGGGAGACGTTCAGTTGGCATCCTAACTAGATGCCTCAGCCACCTCAACTGGCTTGTCTCGATGTGGAGGAGCAGAGAGGCTACTCCGAGCCCCTCCTGGATGACCAAGCTTCTCACCCTATCTCTAAGGGAGAGCCCAGCCACTCTGCGGAGAAAACTCATTTTGGCCGTTTGTATCATCTATCTCGTTCTTTCGGTCACTACCCAAAGCTCGAGACCAGAGGTGAGGGTAGGAACATAAATTGGCCCATAAATCGAGAGCTTTGCCTTCTGGCTCAGCTCTCTCTTCACCACGACAGATCGGTACAATGCCCTCATCACTGCAGACGCAGCACCAATCTGCCTATCAATCTTGTGCTCCATCTTTCCCTCATTCGTGAACAAGACTCAAGATACTTAAACTCCTCCGTTTGGGGCAGGACCTCATCCCTGACCTGGAGAAGACGTTCCACCCTTTTCCGACTCAAGACCATGGTCTCAGATTTAGAGGAGCTGATTCTCATCCCAGCTGCTTCACACTTGGTTGTGAACCATTCAAGTGAGAGCCAGAGATTATATTCTCATGAAGCCAACAGGATCCCTTCATCTGCAAAAAGCAGAAACTCAATCCTTAGGCCACCAAAACAGATCCTCTCAACACCTTGACTGTGTCTAGAAATCCTGTCCATAAAAGTTATGAACAGAATTGGTGATAAAGGACTGCCTTGGCGGAGTCCAACTCTCACTGGAAACGAGCCTGAGTTACTGCCGGCAATGCGGACCAAGTTCTAACACCAGTCATACAGGGACCTAACGGCCCGTATCACAGGGCCTAGTACCCCATAATCCCAAAGTATCCCCAAAAGGTCCCTCCGAGGGACACGGTCGAACGCCTTCTCCAAATCCGCAAAACACATGTAGATTGGTTGGACAAACTTCCACGCACCCTCCAGGACCCCCCTAAGGGTATAGAGCTTGTCCAGTGTTCCACAGTCAGGATGAAAACCACATAGATTCTCCTGAATCCGAGGTTCGGCAATCCGCTGGACCCTCCTTTCCAGAACCCCTGAATAGACCTCACCAGGGAGGCTCAAGAGTGTGATCCCCCTGTAGTTGGAACACGTCCCCTGTTAAATAGAGGCACCACCACCCATCACACATGGGTGTTCCATGGTGCATATCAAAATATATAAAATAGCTGGAAGCTTTAATTTGCTAACAGGATGCTGTTACTGTAGCCAATTCATACACAGCCAATCTCAACTGGCGACATTCCTCACATTCAAACCAACCAGACAATTTTACTGGTGCCAACCACCGGAGCTGCAGTCCAAAGCACAGATAAGACACATTTCACCACGCTGGTTCCGCCTGTAGGATTAAACCCCCACAAAGACGTTCTGCCATTGTTAGGAGACATGCTTTTATAGGCATGACTTCATTACATTTAGCACAATTGTCTTCGGAGGAATGTGTCTGCAGCGCACTATTATCCTCGTGGATTAAAGAGTTGCTATGCCTAAGTGTCAGGAAAGGTTCACGCAGAGCCAAAGATGAGAAATGTTCCTGATGTGGTTGCTTCAATCATTGCTCTCCAATGACCGTCAGAGAAAGTGTTTCCACTCCAGTATTATGGGTTATTTTCTACCAGCTAGGGTATATCCTGATAAATAACTATTGTGGAATAGTGAAGGACACTATTTCATGAGTGATGTTGGTGTCTGTGTCGTAACTTCCTCCTGACTATTGCAGGATCTGAGCTGGGTAGAGATCTAAGGAGGGTTGGGCTTTGTTCCCTGTTAGCGTCTGAGGCTAATGTAACAGGACTCCCAGTCCTGCAGGGCTCTTGGGTGTTGGTGTCTATTTCCACAATGTTTCTTGTGACATCAAAGGCAAGACGATTCAAACATTTTTGGTGTGGAGGATGGTAAGAAGAGGTCATGCAGAATGATAAACTGAGAAAATGATAAACAATTGCTTTTAAAATGCAAAGAGGAGAACGGTATATGAGGAGAGGAGGTGTTATCAAAGAGATAGATCCTCTCGTTTCCCATCACATGTGACTCAGCCCACTCAACAGCTTCCACACGGTGCCTGGACTTCCTAAAACCACTATCTCTCCAGATACTTCCCTCTGTTTTTATGGAACGTTTCTGAATCAAATTTATGGGATTTCCACTGGTAGCTAATTATGCTGAAAATGTGTTCATTTAACCCTGATGTTCATTCGTCCAGCGAGGTCTGCCCTCCTGATCGATGGATTCTAATAAATCAACAACACACACACACACACACACACACACACACACACACACACACACACACACACACACACACACACACACACACACACACACACACACACACACACACACACACACACACACACACAGTCAATCCCACTAATGGAAGTAAACTCTACTCTGTTCCACTAACATTCAAACGACCTCAGATTCACTAATTCACTGGCGAGTGCAGGAGAACCCTCCGTGGGTATTTCAGCAGTCACTCACTGAGCACGAAATTCCTTTTAAGGTTCTTCTCACATTTTAGCTCTGCTCCTTTCCTGAGACGTGTGACCTTGACCTTATTTTTGTGTGGACTGTGTGTTGCTCTGAGAATGACGGCAGCTTGCAGCAGAGAGGAGGATAAAAGCAGATCGACTGTCACCTTCCTCCTTGGTTTTGACAGCAGCATCGATGCCCACGGGCTTCATTATTCTTTTGCCTTTTTATTTAAAGCTGCACCAGCTCGACCCTTCATTCCTCGCCTGTTTTCCAAGGCCATGCATCATGTGGTCCCGTAATTATTTATCACATCTAATGTACTTAAAGCTTGGCTTAAGTGATTGATGCACGAGCATAAAAGCACGCCGACACAGGACAGACTGTCATAGCAGGTGCTGGAAAATGAAGCAACAAAGCTGCTGAACAATGAAATAGCAAACAGTAAAATGAAGATCAGGGGTTATTGGAAAGAAAGTTTCAGAAATGGAGTCAAACAAGTGAAATTATGCTGCGTTTTCTCAGAGCTTTGCACTTTGTGGTGGGCATGCTCGGAAATACATGATTTTACTTCCAGAACTTGTTTTTTACAGTGATAAATAATACAGTACTGTGCCAGCTGGGAGTCTCTGCCTCACTTCTGGACTGAGTCCATCTAAGGCTAGGGGGCTAAGTGGACTCTTCAGAAGAGCAAACTGACTTCTGTGGAGGTATTAAGAGCACAGCAAGGCTTTTAACAAAGTATTAGTACCTTTAATAGTATTAATACTAATAGTACTAGTACCTTTAATCTACACTTTGGTTAAGCCTTAGACTCTGAGTGATAAATGCATTTTGGATGATTTTTATAAATGACAAACATATTTCTGTATTCGAGGTTTGGTGAGACTCGAGCAGCTTTCTAATTCAGTTGGGAAATCATCTCATTAATAGGAAAGTGTTTTGGTGATTTATGCGTCCATATTTAAAACGGAGCAGCTAAATAAACTGGAATGTACCACTGCTGCCACTCAGATTGCAGGGATGTCTGAATTATGTGGGATTATTCCAGCAGCTGTCAGGTTGTCGCCTGTAGTGGCTAAAACTGTGTCCCTCTACCCAGGAAGTTTCAAATTCCATCAAATCTGGCAGTGGTGGTCTGCTGCCATTCGTCAAAGCGTGCTTTAGATAGTTTCCAAGGTTTTTTGTTAACCCCTTTGCATAGTTGGACAAAGCTTGAGATGCTGCAATACGTTGTTGTCAGAATGCACGCACGCCCTGACCTATGTGCTACCCCTTCGGTCCACTGGACGTGAAAGTGTCGTGTAACGGCGGCCGTTATGATGGATGAGTTCCTGCCTGGCCGGGTCTAAACATAGAACATAAAGATAGTGCTCCTTTGCTTCTGGGACACATCCAAAATGTTGAGTGAAAAGAGAAAGGGAACTCGTTGACTATAACGGCAGCTAATAGCTGCAGAGCAGATTTTGCGGCCGTTTTGCGAAGCTTGTGGTCATGCCTCTGTGGGTGGTAAGATGTTCACATCCCAGTTTTCACACACACACACACCGGTCTACCACTGGGATTGATTGCAAGTATTCCCCAGAGAATCACATGTCCTTAACTCTTAGCTAGCTTTCATATTAATGTTAATACATTTTATGTTGCTGGGAGACACATGGTCTACCCAGCCCTGTGCCTAGACTCTCAGGGGGCTCGCTGTAGCAGAGGATGCAGAAGCAAGGTGAAAGGTCACAACCCCTGTGTGAATCTGAACCAGATTTGCATAGCATCCTAATCAGCCTCTATTCATCTGAACTGAACAGCAGCGACCTTCCAACTCAGGCCAGAAAAGACCCGATCAGCCAGCTGGCACAGCTTTCAGCCTGGAGTTGGAAAAAAGAGCTAACTCCTCTGATCAGATTATATTTCTGATCCTAATGAATGGTGTGTGAATATAATTGTATACCCTGAATTTATTCACGTAACTTTTCACCTTTGGTTTGATTGTGTCTAGCTTTGGAAGTTTGATTAGAGGGATTATTTATGACATGAGGGCTTTGATGGAGCAACACACCCACTCTAACTGAATGTGTCCAACACATATTAACATAAATGATACCCTCGGCTTTGCTCGTAGTGATTAACTGAATTAATGAGCAGCATGTTGAATCAGTGGGGATTTATTGATTTTTGCATTTCTTTCTTTTTAAATGAATCTGTAACATTTCATCATTAGAGTGTCTAGAGTTTCGTTAACAATAGAGACAGCAGTAGCTCAGGAGGTAGAGCGGGTTGTCCAGTAATCGGAAGGTTGCAGGTTTACTCCCGCTCCGACCAGAGAATGCTGCTGTTGTGTCCTTGGGCAAGACACTCAACACATCTTGTCTGCTGGTGATGGCCAGAGGGACGAGTGGCACCAGTGTTCAGCAGGCCTCGCCTCTGTCAGTGTGGCTACATCGTAGCTCATCCCCACCATCATGTGTGAATGGGTGAATGACTGGTTGGGTTGTGAAGCGCCTTGGGGGGTTGTAGAACCCTAACAGGGTGCTTTACAAAGACAGACCATAACAAGCAAGCTTTAGTGAGGCACGGTTCTTCTTAGTAAAGCCGATCAAACTCCTGACCCACTCGGCTTTAACCATCAGAACATTCTGTCACTTGCAAGCTTGTGTGTTTTTTTTATTATCACCTACTCCCAAAAGATAACCAATGAATTGATTTTAATCAAACTTTCAGAGATAATCGTTACTCATACATCTAGAACTGGACGGAATCATAAAAAATCTGCATCCACCTTTTTACTTTATTGAGCTGTTATTAATTTGGTTATAGCTGAGAGTCATTCTCCACACACTCTCTACACTCCACTTTGCCACATTGTTTGATCATGCATAGTGTGCTAAAATCCCTATAAATGTCATAGCATGAGATGATTTTACTGAAAAATAAAATTCAGACCTGAAAGATGGTATTCTTTCAAGGTATTTAATTCCAGTTAAGAGCCACGTGTGTATTTACTCTCATTGCAATAGTGAATTCTAAAGATCTGCAATGTGGACAACGGTAATGGTTCTTAATCAGGGATTCTCTGGGCACATGGTGGCGTGAGGACTGGGAGGGTTATTATCCTTCTGGGTTTAGTCCTCCCCTGCCCATCACACATGTGCAGAAGCACAAACACGCACATGCAAAACCCTAGCTGCATTTTTCTATTCATAGTCACACATATATGTGTAAATATTCAAAACAAAATAGCACCTTTCATCAGGCAAAACTTCAGCCAGTTTAGCCTCATTTGGCATGTTTTCTTGCTGTTCACAGCTGTTCAGAACCATCACTTTTCAATTAAATCAGCTAAATATTCACCCTGAAGTGTTTGGCCAGGTATCTTTGATTCTGAATGAGCGTGCAGCAGCAGGGCAGCATTAGCCCTCACAAGAGCAGCTGGTACGGGTGCAGGTGGTTCAGCAGGTCTATTAGAGTCCTTATGCCTTAAGGGCACACCTCTGACCCCCTCTGTCTCATGTAGTTAATGAGGTCCCTCCAGAGCAGCACAAGAGGCCAAACTGCACTTACATTACATTAGAAGCAGAAAGCTGTCGTAGTGTTTCTTTTCACCATTCCATTCATTTAGGACGACTTTTCCACTACTTATTATTTCTGCTGTTTGCTCACTTATGCTTCTTTGCTCCTCCACACAAAGCATGAATCCTGATTCACCCCTCCTCTGGATAATTAGACCATCGCAGAGCTTCCTGCTTATTGAAAGTGTGTTCCAAAGAAAAAGATAAGAATTGACTTCAATCTCCTCGGTACCAATTAGAGCTGGCGATAGAAGCCATTAGTGCTCCGGTGCCTGGAACCACACCTTCCTCCCAACAGCCCCACAAACACATGCAGACACATGGTTTGCTCAGCCAGATGGAAGCTCTTTAGTATTCAGGAGGACTCAGGATCTAAAAGATATGAAGTCAACACTGAATCCATTTAATAAATCCCCAAATCTTGCGCTACTGGTCGCTGACGGCTCTTCTCCCTTCATTTGGCTTTACAGAACAGCCAGATGGTGGAGCTCCAGAGGAATCAGCTGCGTGATGACATCAAGGAGTACAAGTTCAGGGAGAGTCGTCTGCTGCAGGACTACACAGAACTGGAGGAGGAGAACATCTCACTGCAGAAGCAAGTCTTAGTGCTCAAACAGAGTCAGGTGAGGTGTGTTCCAGGTCTAAGCCACATAAACACTGAGAATGGTGGAAATAAAGTTTGATAATGATGACATATTACTGGGTGGGGTAGAGCAGTCCTTTACTCTGATGTATCTACTTCAGTTTGGCCTAATTACCGTAATTTTCAGACTATAAGCTGCTACTTTGTTCACTTGCTTTGGACCCTGCAGCTTATACAACGGTGCGGCTTATCTATGGATTTTTTTTGCAGCTAACGGTGCAGGGGTGCACGGTCAAGGAAGCACAAGAGAAAGACAGACAGTTCGCGCCTAACGAGAGCAAACAAATGCAGCACGAGAGACAGAATGAGAGTGAGACAATTTAAGCCAAAGAAGTGCTCACCGTTGTATCAATTGTGCACTGCACAGATGGTGTTCGTCATGTCAAATTGGGAATGTTTGATTTATTGATTGATTGAAAGATTTATTGTGTTTCTAAAATGGTAATAAATGAGATGCTTTGTGTGTCATCTCTGTCCCATCAATCACCTCCCTAGCAGGAAACCTTATATATGCTAATGCGGCTTTAATAAGGAGCAGTCTATCATTTCCCCCAAATTTAGCTGGAGCAGCATATTTTAAGGTGGGCCTTATAGTCTAGAAATTACGGTAAACTCGTGTATCAAAATATACAGCTAATATAAGCAAAAGTAACTAGACTAACTAATTGTGTGGAAAGGTAAACAAATGTTTTTTTTCAGGTGGAGTTCGAGGGTTTGAAGCATGAGATCCGTCGTCTCGAGGAAGACACTCAGTTCCTGAACAGCCAGCTGGAGGATGCCATCCGCCTGAAGGAGATTGCCGAGCGCCAGTTAGGTGAAGCTCTGGAAACCATCAAAACTGAGCGTGAGCTCAAGGGGTCCCTGAGGAAAGAGCTCTCCCTCTACATGAATATCGGAGACTCTCTTTATCACAGGTGAACAAAGCACAAACGAGGGGCTGTCGGGATTGGAGATAAACTGTCAGAATGACACACAATTTCATCTTCCAGTCCCCTCAGCGTCTCTCTGGATGGTCTGAAGTTCAGTGATGATGCTGCCACTGAACCAAACAACGACGAGGCTTTGCACGGATATGAGGACGTCTTCGCCAAACTGGCCAACACCATAGCCGATGACAACCGCGTTTCCACGCCCAAGAAGGAGGGACTCTTCCACCCTGCGCCCAGCCTTGTTGATGACCTGCTGAGTGAACTCAACATCTCAGAGATCCAGAAGCTCAAACAGCAGCTGATGCAGGTCAGGGTTTGCTTAGAACATTGCTACGTATTTAACAGTGTGGTACTGTTCAGCTAATGCTTAATGTGCCATTATTCGGGCTCATCAGAAGGTATGCTTTAGCGTGGAGTGTTTTACTTCAGTCTGCTGAACAGATCTAAATCCTATTACAGTGAAGGGAGTCCAAAGACAGGGAGACACACTCACCTTCCAGGCTCTGGTGGACGTTCGAGACAGCAGGTGGTGGCACCAGAGGACCTGCCATCTGCTGGCTCATCGTCACCAGGTCACACATGATTGGGCTCCATGGTCACTAGAGAGTTCTCCTGACCTGTGGATGATCGCTGTTTTGCAGACCAACGTGCTGTTTTCTGTCATCATGTCATCAAACATCAGTATATTTGCTGGATTAATGTGTGGAGATGCTTTAGTGTTGTGCAAAAAAGCAGCCATTCTGCAAACTAAGGAAGTCTGATAGCAAGGCAGCTTCATTTGGATAGCACATGTCATACATAGAGGCATTGCAATGTGCTTTCCAGGAGCAAGAATTTTGGTTCCATGCCACTGAGTGATTTATAAACTAGTAGAAGCACTTTGAAATCGATTCTGTAGTTTACGGGTGTAAAACAGGAGAGAAGTGCTCCGTTCTCTTGGTTCTTGGTAAATGGTCTGTATTTGCAAAGCGCCGTCTTAGGGTTCTACAACCCCCCAAGGTGCTTTGCAACACAATCAGTCATTCAGTCATTCACACACATATTCACACGCCAGTGGGGATGAGCTACAATGTAGCCACAGCTGCCCTGGGGCACACTGACGGAGGTGAGGCATCTCCGGTCCCTCCGACCACCACCAGCAGGCAAGGCGGGTTAAGTGTCTTGCCCAAGGGCACAACAGCAGTATTGTCTTGTTGGAGCTGGGATCAAACCTGCAACCTTCCAATAACTGGACAACCCACTCCACGTCCTGAGCTACTGCTGTTAAGACTCTAGCTACAGCATTCTGTATCCTCATCTTGCAGCACCAAAGCATTTTACATGGTGTGCATTAATCAGCTTCTCAAATAGCTCCGTGCTGATAAAGCTGAGCTCTGTGCATGTGTGTGAGATGACCTGTCCAGGGTGTATGCCAAAACTAAACTAAAACTTGTCCGGTAAATTGTTAGTCACCCTGACCTTGGTGCTGAGATAGCAGGCAGTTTCTGGTGGTGGAGTCATCCTGACCACAGAATATTATCTAAAAGCAGGAGTCATTCTTCAAATCAAACTATCACAAAGTGTCACATTGCTTGTTTTATCCTCATCGCTCTACAGATGGAGCGGGAGAAGGTCAACCTGCTTTCAAATCTCCAGGAATCCCAGAAACAGCTTGAGCAGGCCAACGGGGCTCTGTCAGAGCATCAGGAGAAGGTCAACCGTCTCACTGAGAACCTCAACGCCATCCGTAAGCTCCAAGCCAGCAAGGAGCGCCAGTCTGCTTTAGACAATGAGAAAGAACGTGACAGCCACGAGGACGGAGACTACTACGAGGTGGACATCAATGGACTTGAGATCTTGGAGTGCAAGTATAAGGTAAGTGGCTGAAAATGGACAGCGTGAGATGTGGGAGTTCAGAAAATGTCGACATGAGGTTGCTTTTTTCATCACATGACGTTTGTCTGGCAGGTGGCTGTGTCTGAGGCAGGAGAGCTGAAGGAGGAACTTAAGACTCTGAAGACAGAATACCAGGCCTGTCAGTCACGCTACGAAGAAGAGCGCACCCGTCTGGAGCATGAAGTCGATTCTTTGGAAGAGAAACTGTTCACTTTGGAGAAGATGAGCTACGTAGACAGAGAGGAGAAGACTAAGCTAGAGAAGGAGCTGCGCAAGGTGAGATGTTCCTCTTTATCTATTCTAATAAATACTTGAGCTGATGATTCTGGTTTACCCTTTTGCACTAACAAATGGCTAATGAGTTCTTATCTTTGTGCATGGCAGTTGAGTGATGTGGCAGGCGAGTCCCAAGGGAGTCTGAGTGTGGCTCAGGATGAGCTGGTGACCTTCAGCGAAGAGCTTGCCACCCTTTACAACCACGTCTGCATGTGCAACAACGAGACTCCCAACCGCGTCATGCTCGACTTCTACAAAGAGGGTAAGGGTGGTCGGAATAGCCCAGAGGGCCGCGACCGGCGCTCCCCCATCCTTCTCACAAAGGGGCTCTTCCCAGAGCATGGTAAAACCGACCTTAGTGATGGAGCTCCTTCACCAGTCTCCTCCATACCTTCTCCTGTCTCCGACCACCGGCGCGAGCCCATGAACATCTATAATCTGGTGGCCATCATCAGAGACCAGATCAAACATCTGCAGCTGGCTGTGGACCGCACCACCGAGCTGTCGCGCCAGAGGGTGGCCTCTCTAGAGCTCGGCACTGTGGCAGACAAGGACAAAGAAGCCTGCATGGAGGAGATCCTCAAACTGAAATCCCTGCTCAGCACCAAGCGGGAACAGATTGCCACTCTGCGGACGGTCCTCAAGGCCAACAAGCAGGTTGGTTGGTCTGAGTTACTAACACAAGTTCTTGAAAGACAAACAGTAGATGCGGGGTAAAGGGCTATTTAGGGTCCGTTCAGCTGTGGCAGCAAACGGATTGCAGCCATGATCTATAACAGAGATGACAGCCATATGGTACCAGCTGCCTTGAGTATCTGTGTGTTTAGGGAACAGGAGCAGCTTTAAGACACACAGCTATGTGACTGGGTATGTGTGCAGTTGCTCTGGTAGTCCTTCAAACTATGCGTGTGGCTACTCTGTGACCATTACAACTCAGCTAGAAAAAAATATCACATTTAATATGTGAACTGGTTTTTATATCCTCCGCTAGCAGCCAAACACAGATCGGGTCTCTGGGATGTCTTAATGAGTTCCACGTGGAACGTTACCCCTGATGTCTCTGAGCGCCTCTGACACTTTTTTTTCTTCTTGTGCCCTCACAGACCGCTGAAGTTGCTCTGGCCAATCTGAAGAGCAAGTACGAGAACGAGAAGGCCATGGTGACAGAGACCATGATGAAACTGAGGAACGAGCTCAAAGCTCTGAAGGAGGATGCAGCCACCTTCTCTTCTCTCCGAGCCATGTTTGCCACACGGTAAGATCATGCATCCAAGTGTGTGTGTGTGTGTGTGTTTCAGATGAACAGACACACACACTAATCTTCTCTGAGTCCCAGCAGAAGCTGGTCAAAGGTTGTGTCCATAATCCCACTTTATCTTGGTGTGGATTAAACATTCAACACTAAGTCATCACTCAATGTTGTTGTTTATGTCTTGCATGCATGGGGGAACAGAACCTCTTTACATTCAAACATTCGCAATCAAATCTGAGGGCATTGTTGTCTCAGATAAAATTAAAATGTAAAATTCCCTTTATCAAGTCCAGTCATGCCTTTGCAACAGCTTCACCTGTCTCTGTGGTCTCTGACCTCACTCAGCTATATGCAATGATTCCCTCTCCGCAAACAATTTCTGTTTCTGCATTCAGGTGTTTCAGGTAAATAGGGCTTGTGATCGTAATGCCATCACTGACACAGCTGCCCCATTGGAGGCATGCGAGTCCTTACTTGTTGCTTGTTACTACTGTAAACAGCGCGCTCAGTCTTGTTCTTGTGGCTTAAATTAATCTATTATTCAGTTGATCGGTTATATTACACAACTCTAGTAAATCGTTGCTGTGTTGTGGGCTGACACGGACTCGCCAGGGGAATAAAGGTGGAAAACAGGCTAACTTTTCACTGTTTTCCTGCTTGGAGGCAAAACGACGGAGACCAAGTATCTAGCTTAACAAAGTCTTGTTGACTCACTTGGATCGCTGCTGTAAGGCGACCAAACATCACCTTCTGGAGTATTTTCATTCTGGTAAGTTACAGATGGTGTACATTTTATATACATCGTTGCCTTCCTTCAACCGCGACATGCACACACACACACACACACACACACACACACACACACACACACACACACACACGTGCACACACACACGTGCACACACACACACACACAGAGGCTACACGCACATACCCATAGGCTAATGGGGGTGCGCTGACACACAACACAACTTCTCTCGCTACCATTCTTCTGTAGGATAACAATTTTGATTGTTTTACTAGAAAAACCAACTAATAAAACGTTTACCTCTCATCCGAATGTTTACATTCGCTCACACCACAAACATGAAAGCCGTAGAACTGCAGCGGTAACAATACATCACTGGTGCTCCGGTCTTGGGTCTTTCATATGGATCAAAACCATTTATAACGCCGATGTTGTCCACACACCGGTCCCCAACGTCTTTATATAACCTATCCCTGTATATTCCACATCCTTTTTGGGATTTTCTAATGTTGTTTAACACTTTCTTTCACCGAAATCCGCTTCCTCTCTGCGGCAGTACCGTTTGTTTAATGGTTTGTTTACACTCGTCAATCTTCCAACATGGCTGTGCACATAATCATGTGTGATCACAAGCCCTATTAGGCACTTGACAAGTTACTTAGGTTAGCTCCTCATAAATCAGCTGGACTGGGTATTCTTGACCCCTTCTTTCTGAAAATAGCAGCATGTGTTGTTGCTGCACCTATTACCCATCTATTTAATCTGTCCATACAAACCGGTGCATTTCCGCAGGACTGGAAATTTGCATTTGTTACTCCACTTTTTAAAGGGGGGAGATCATTGGGACCTAAGCTGTTATAGGCATATCTCTGTCTTGCCTTGCCTCTCCAAATTCATTGAAAGCTAGTCAACAAACATCTAACTCATTATGTGGAATCCAGCAGTATTATTACCCCCTTGCAGTCCCAACCTTATTCTAAATCTATATTAATAACATTGTTCATGCTGTTGACAGTTTTCGTATACATTTATATGCGGACGACACCATTTTATATTCATGCAGTTCTCCTTTGCAGCTTTGTCCTCCTTGTCTTCAACACACCTTCTCCAGCCTTCATCTTCATTTTAAACACAAGTAAAACAAAGTTCATATCTTCAACCGTAACTTACCGCAATCAGCTTTTCACCCTAGTATTGTTTCCCTGGATGGTACAGAACTACAGTTCATCAGTTCTTATAAGTTTTTGGGTATCTGGCTTGACAGCACACTTTCATTTGCCATTCACATTAATTCATTACATTCTAAGGCCTACCGCAGCTAAGTGGCCTAGTGGTAGATGTGTCCGCCCTGAGACTGGGAGATCAGGGTTCGATTCCTGGTCGGGTCATACCAAAGACTTTGAATAATGGGACCCAATGCCTCCCTGCTTGACACTCAGCATTAAAAGGGTTGGATTGGAGGGTCAAACCACCAAATGGTTCCCGAGTGCAGCTGTATCTGCAGCTCACCGCTCCCCCAGGGGATGGGTCAAATGCGGAGAACAAATTTCACACACACATCAGTTATATCAGTCCATTTTGTGACGTTACATCAGTGTGTGTGACAACTAATGAGACTCTTAACTTTTTTAACTTTAAAGTCAAGCCAAGAATTGGTTTTCTATACCGCAACAGGTCATCCTGTACTCATTCTGCAAAGCCAGCCTTGGTCAAAATGAGAATCCTTCCCATCTTAGATTACCATGACATCATTTATAGGACTACTTCCAAAAAACTTCATCTTAAACTCAATGTCATTTTTCACTCAGCAATCTGTTTCATCACTAGTGCCCCTTTCACCACTCATCACTGTGATCTGTACTCACTCGTTAACTGGCCATCACTATTCCCACAGGTTGTTACATTGTATCAGTTCATATGCAAAACAAATTTCATTCCGATCGAGCCGAATGAGATCAGAATATTTCGATTGGCATGTTTACATGCAGAACCTTTGATCTGATTGGGCGTTCAATCCGATTAATTGTGTCCATGTAGACGTGGCTTATGTGTCTGTTGCTGCTGCCTCTTGGCCAAATCATTGTTGTAAATGAGATCAAGTTCTCAATTGACTCTTCTGGTTAAATAAATAAAAAAATTAATTAATTTTATTGGAGAGTTGAAGGTGTGTTGAAATGAGATTTCCATGGGTTGAGTTCCCAGTGCATTCCCATGATAACTACTATGATCCGCATGGTATTAATCGGAAGCTGAGTCGTTGTGTTTTTCTGAATTGAAGTCTTTGCAAAAGACAAGCGTTACCATAGAAGATATGCTATTGGCTGACCAGAAGCCCTTGTGTTGTGTTTAATAGAAGCTTCTGTCTCCATAAACCTGCAGAGTCTAATCAGTGTCTTTAAATATTGATGTGAGTTTTATGGCAGTTATGCACCATTATTATTATATTTTCTTCTAAAGAGACTGCATTTATTTTGCTAATATATTTGTTCTTGCTTGCATCCATGCATGTGGTTTCTTCCCGTCTGCACAAATATGTCTACAGATGACCCTATTGCAGCGTTACATTCAGTCTGTTAATGGGTCTCTTGTATTGGTATGCAAATCTCATATTTACATACAGAGTTTGGGTTGGAGGGGCTCTTTGGAAAGTGGGGGTGAAGTTTCCCACACTTGCCTCCCTCTTCCTTTGTATCCCTCGTTCTTCTGTCCTTCTTCATCCCAGAACACTTGGCTAGTAGGAGAAGAAAGAGAGGAGGGGCCACATTTTTAGTTCAATCCCACTACTGGAGCTCGTTTAGCTTTTGTTTTTTCAAAAGTAGTCACCTCGGATGGCGTGTAGAGGCTGATTCCTGGGAAACGATATAGTAATATAAGAACGATGGAGTGGGATGGAAAGAATGTTTAGATTTTTCTTTTTGGGGTTAATCAGTCAAATCAATCAGCACCTGAATTACTTGAAGGTGAAATGGATTTTGCACAGTGATAATCTGATGAAAGAATGCTAGCATAAGTGTTTTTCTAGTGGTGTGTGTGCTCTTTGTTTTGTTTCTTGCTGTGTGTCTGGAGCCCTGCAGCTGCAGACTGGTGTCATGTTAACAGTAAACCCCTGCCTCCAACATTCCTGAAACATGCTTCAGCATGTCTCACATTCCCACCAATCAGGCCGCAAATCATCAGCTCCAGTTGCTCTGGATTTGCTTTCATGGTATACTTTTCCTGATGGACTCATCTCTCCACCATTTCTCTTGTTCTCTTTGTGATCCCAGTTTGACCTGACAGGTTCAGATGAGAATGATGAAAGCGCTGAGGACAAATATTGATTATTAAAATAAGAAAAAAGGCAACAATTGAAATCTGTCCTTTAATCCACAAAAATTACAGATTATATTTTTATTTGTCAAAGCTGTGAATATGCTGTCTATTCATCCTCAACAGGGCGAGCAGCCGCCTCCTGCCTGCCTTCATTTATTGTGCACAAACACCCAATCAGCTGGCCTTAAAGGCCTCTTTTGTGTCCCCTTTTTAAAGACCCCTCTTTTTTCCCGGGAAAATCACACCATGCCCTCCCACTCCCATGCTAAAACAGAATGAACTGTCTGAAGACACACACACACCATCGGGGGGGTGTCCCCATCTCATACTGGGTTTAATGAAGTAGCACTGATCCCTTTTGTCTGGGTGTGTGTGTGTGTGTGTGTGTCCTACAGGGATCTGAGCTGCACACACAAGAGATGAAGGCATGGTTTGTTTTTGTGAGGTGGTCTGGCCAGGGCGAAGTTCACATGGCCAGCAACCACGTGCAATGCCGCTCACAACATAAACATCCGTGGGTTCTTGATGATTTCCACTCAAAACAACATTTTTTTATCCAGACTCTGGGAGCAGCAACATTTTCTTTCCACCTTTTTCTATCATGAAGTGTTTGACGACACAGGAAAGAGGATCAAACCAGAGTGCTGCTGCAGCAGATGGAGTGCAGAGATAGAAACCTCCATCTCAGAATCCCATCAGGTGACCCAGTTTTTATGCCTGTCCAGCCTTAAAAACCTTTTGACGTACAAGGCCTGGAGTGCAGGAGATAATTCTAAGTCCTGCTCACAGACAGACTTCACATTTTGTGCATTTTTGCACCCAGATGGGAGAAAGGACGACTCTAACTGATGCACTAGAGCTCAGATGTGAAGCAAAACCTCACATTTCACCCCTCTGCTGCTCAGGTGACAAAGAAAAGACCTTAGTGGCTGCAGGGTCAATGCCTTCATTAGTGCGTGATTTGGTTTCACTACACACACACAAACGCACATGTACAGACACACACGCTGATATTATTTGAAGAAGCTTTCTTGATTATCTTCTGTATGTTAGTCATGCACAGAAATACATGCCAAATGTTAATGTTAAAAAACAGAATAATGTCTCTTTCGGATATAGTTTGCTATTTCTGCACAAGTTACAGATTATTTTTATTCAAATAAATGATGCAACTAGTAGTAGAAGGTTGAAACGCCGTCTGATGGAGCCGGAAGTTAATGTTGCAGTGTTCAGATCTGCACTGTGTGGCTCATCAGCCCCACCTGGTGGTGGTAATAACTGTACTTTGATGGTCTTCATAGACGAGCACCAGTTTAGTTGAAGACAAGTAACTGAAGTTTTTCATTCTCAAAAAGCTGGGATTATTTCCTCCTTATAAATCAGCTGAACCTCTAGATGTAACTGGAGAAAACTTCTCTCTGATGTTGATTTCTGGTGATCTGGCACGCCTGACCTAAGTTTCTTTTTCTGTCCCCTGCAGTTGTGACGAGTACGTGACCCAGCTGGAGGCGATGCAGAGGCAGCTGGCTGCAGCAGAGGACGAGAAGAAGACCCTGAACTCCTTGCTGCGAATGGCCATCCAGCAGAAGCTGGCTCTGACGCAGCGTCTGGAGGACCTGGAGTTCGATCACGAGCAGACCCGTCGGGGAGGCAACGCGGGCCGGTCTAAAGCACGTAGCAAAGCAGCCGGCAGCGGCGCCAACAACAACACCCCCCACGTTAGTCAGAGCCTCACCTGCTCTGTCAGACCTGAGCCCAATAACGCTCTGCCCAACGGCATCCTAGGAGGCCCGGGCATTTTCTGCAGCGAGAAGTACAAGATCTACTGTGACTGAGAAGCGGTTCAAACGTCCGCACAGACTGCTGTGTACAGAAGGGAGTGGGGGTGGTAAACCCTCCCTGCCTTTAGTGTCAAAGAGCCCCACTCGCTTAGCTCCCTGGCCAGCCCGTGCTCCTTTAGGGACTGCGTTGTTACTAACCGGCTGCTCGTTTGTGCTGTTGTAAACGCTTAGGGGAATGCTGATGTGTGTACAGTGTGCACTAGACGTTTGGACAGCAGTAGACAAATGTGGCATGTGGCCCTGGTTATATTAGGGGTGTTTTTTGTGGATATTGTGGGTTGTCTAATTTACCCTGCTGTCACGGTGCTGTACGTACGATGTAAAAGGTGACAGCTTGTGTGTGGGTGTTTGTTCTGGCCCCCTTTGTGGCTCGCCTAGTAACATAAACACATTTCTAAGAGGGGTAGAGGCTTGTGCAGACAATATCACTGAACAGCATCCTCAGTTTTTAGGGTGGTCTGTTGGCATTGGTGCTCCTTTGATGAAAAACAAGCCCCCAACTTCCCCCTTTCTGCTCGTGCGGCCTCGAATGACCCACGTCCAGCAGCCTGCTTTTTAATCAAGGAACTGTTTACAAGAAACATGAACAAAAATATGCAAGCTCCTTCTGCTCTGTGGCTAGAGGAGCAAAATAGAAATCTATATATAAATTTTAAACTGAAAAAGGGGGTCAGTGGCTTTATAACGATATGGGCAGAAAAGGAGCACCTGTGACCACAGGTGTTTATTTCAGGATCATTTAAAAGCTGTGATGCTAGCACACCAATACGATAGGGTCAGTAGAATCGCATGGCTTTGCAGCTGAGAATATTTATCAGCTTCTTCATTTTTTACTGTTTCCCCTGCTGTCAGGTGTGCAGTGTTACATGAACTCATGTGCTACAGGGCTCCACGTTGTAAGAAGACAACATAAGGGGGGTAAATTGGTGAGTGGTGAAACCCTAGAGGGCTATACGTTCCATTTGACCCAACGTGTTGCGGTGGATTTGTTCAGAGCCATAAAAGAACCGAAGAGAGGACGTTTGACAAATCGATCTCTGCATCTAAATTAAGTGCACTTCATCAAAAGGTGCCTCAGGTTCCTGTTTCTGTTTTAAATGCTAAAACACAACTACTGTGAACAGAGATACTTCATAGCTTTGTTCAAATTATATTTTTAAATATTGAGCAAATTCAAGAAGAGCACACATGAGAACAAAGAAGGAAAGAAAAGCTCCTCACATCTGGAAATGAATTTGCTAGCAAAAGCTTGACCAGGTGGCGAAAAGTGCCTGTCGACAAACACTTGACGTATTTATCTGTTGTTGTAAAGCCCTGTCCTCGTGTCTCACGTCTCTCCGATCTGCTAAGAGCTGTCAAATAATCTCACACAACTTTGTGGGTTAAAGCAGTTTTTTGTCTAATCTGAGCGTCTTGTTGCTATAAAACCTTGTAGTTTGTCAGCAGCTTGCTCCCCCGACATCACCGCTCACCATTTAACATAGAATGAGGAGTTGTGGTGAAAATATTACTATCAGGTAATGTCCTCGCATATGCAGCATGTGTGTGTGTGTGTGTGTGTGTGTGTGTGTGTGTGTGTGTGTGTGTGTGTGTGTGTGTGTGAGGGCCTCATTCCTCTTTTCCTGTGTTTTTGGGTGTGTGAGGACAAAAACAATATACTCCTTTAGTATTGAAAATAGCTTTAAACCATTGCAAGCTAGTATTAAGCAAATAGAAAAAGTGGGGCTTGTGTTTGATAATCCATGTACTGCTAGTGGATCATAAACATATTAGCTTTATGATGCTAAAAGCAGGGTTGATGTGTGGTATACCTGCAAGATCTACTTTCAGATTGGAACATTTTCTAACACAACAAAACTAAATGTGGAACTCTGTTCCTGATATGTTCACATGCAGGTTACAGTCTTGCAGGAGCCTCCTACAGTATTCTTTTTGAAGACAAATACAAATTCAGTCCTTCTAAAACAGGAACGCTGTAAGCGGTCAACCCTGCTTGAGTGTGCATCCATAAGCCACAGCACAAAGCATGGATAAAGGCTATTAAATGTACACGTTAGAGGAAAAAATATCCAAAAAGCCTCGTTCCTACGTTTCACTTGATATCTGAGTTTTGTTTCTATCAGTTTGTGCTGAAGAGAGAAAACAAAGTACAGGAGAGGTAAACCAGCTCCAGAGATTCATTCTGAGAGCTCATGGAGTAAAGCTTCTGGGATTCTCCAGAGGGGGAATCTCCTGGTGATATTTGGAGGAAGAAAACCAGTAACAAGCGGCTGCTTAATGAACCAGCAGACATTTATACAAATAATTCGAGCCCCTCTCCTTTTGTATGGGCTGTGTAGATTTATTGGACAATAAAATAGCTCTCAGGATGTGATTGTGACTAGAAATGTTCTAAATAGATGAACTCTTGCGTAGCTCCATCTAGTTCCAAACCTATGTCCGGTCTACCTGGTGTCATTCAATATGCCACCAATACAAGCTCCTCCTACCTCTTCCTGCAGGCTCCTCCCTCATCCCCTCTGAGTTAAATGTCACGCGATGCCCACTGTTTCTGATTCACCTTAAGCCTGCATGTCCACACATAACTCATTTTTGATTAACCATGAGAGAAGGGCTCTTGTGAGCTGGTTGGTTGATGATGTGGCTTCGTCGTCGTTCTGTGATTTCAAAGCCGCCGGTACTTGTGAGATTTTGGCTTCCGGGCAGGATAATCAGTAGAGAGTGTGTTTTTAGGAACACATTTGCGTTTGTGACGGGAACGATCCTAACATCGTCTCCTCCATCTGTCCGATCTTCAGGTTTTAAGCACAATTGTTTGATATGTTTTTTTTTTTTTTTTTTTGCATCTCTGCTGGAAGCCAATTTCTCACCAGTTTACCTGAAACAGATTCTGATTGGATCATTCAGCCTTCCAATTAGAAGCCAGGGGATTTGAGTTTGTTTTCTCGGTGCAACATAGTAAACATTTATTCGGTTTTGTTATTATTCTTATTTTATTTCATTTTAATCTGTGCACTTTCTTCCTAAAGGATGTTAACATTATTAACCTATTAGGAAAGCATGGTAGTACTATGGTTTGTGCGTTATTCAGTAATAATACATTCTCCTGAATTTAAATATAGTATTTACTTGAGAACGTACTCCACCAACCATAATGTACTACTATGTTGTCCGTCCTCAAGATTTTATCCATCAAATAACCATTTTTTAAGTGTTTTGTCACGTTTGACATGTTTTGCTGATTTGTTAGTTCTACTGCCATGGTCTATATAAAAATCCAGGGTGATTCTGGGTTTTTTTCATGCATTTATTATTCCTAGGAATAGCTCAAAATGACTCACAGAAACTTGACAACGCTCTGATTCCCGTCGGTAAGCTGGCTTTGGAGAAAAATTTGAGTGAATGCTTTCTCTGAGCTTCTGACTGAGAGCGTTCCACTGAACTGCGATCACTGACCTTCAGAATTCTCTGCAAAGGGTGACAATTAAATTCCAAATTGGAATTGCTTCATTCTCTCTCCATTTTTATTGTGCCAAATCTTGGTACACTGTTTAGGTCGACAAGAATCAGGACTGGAAAAGAAGACAAGCTGAGAAAGGTAGTCGCTGTGGGGTTGAAGTTTTGGTTTGGGTTTATTCTGTTGGGTTTGTTTAGTTCTTCGTTTCTGACCAGTAGTGCCTTTCATCATTTCGAGGGAGAATCTTAGATTAGATGTTTGTTTTTATAGGTGAGGACTTTGGGTTTGAACCGACTGTGAGCAGCAATAAAAGCAAAGGGATTTTTTCCCCTCTTTCTGCACGAGTGACGTAATAGTTTTAAAATTAGCTAAATGAAACAAAAATTGTATTGAATTCTGCAGGTCAGTGATCCAATCAAGAACTTCAGGGGTATTATGAAAAGGTTTTGTTTTTTCCTCATTAAACTTCAGGAACCAAAAGAAATCCTTTGGCCTCCTGCTATTAAACAAAAAGCTCCAAACACCTGTTTTGTGTTCGGAGTAAATCTGTGTACCATTGGAAACATCTACACATCTCTAGCTTTGGTAAAGGTAATGCGATATCAATAGTATTGTTGGAAAATGTGCAGCAAGCACATTTTTATCTTTATGTTTGAAGTTTTTATTTGTTGTTTTTATTATTACAGCTGTTTTTTTACATCTTTGAACATTTATGTTTTCAGGAAACAGAAAACAGAATTTGCATCAACAAGCTCGAATAGTGCCATTTATAGCCAATGCTAGTTTGTTGAGGCATTAAAAGTTAATAATATGGAAGAAAGCTACAATAAAAGTGCAATTGAAATACTGTTTTACATTTTTGATAAAAAATGAAAGGTTTTCTGTTTGCTGGAAGCTATAGCATTATGAAAAATAAAAAAAAATAGCTTTGAAAACTATTGTCATAATGTCTTTCAGTATTGATCCGTAATAATGAGAGTTTGATGTCTTTATATGAAATAACGACTTCACTTGTATGTTGGTATTTATTTGAAATTGTCATGCAGTACTGTATTTTATCAATAATGTGCATTATGATTAGTGGTATACTGATTACACCTAAACGTCATATGCATGTTTCTCAGTCATGGGACCCTTACACAAAACTGAAAACAAATATGTTAAATTTTGTTGGGATGATTGTTATTATTGGAAAACAAATGGAGAAAATTATGAAAAATAATTAAGTTTGATGTATTACTGCTGAGCTAATAATCCTATGAAAGTGTTTGTTTTCTAGCTGAGGAGTGGTGTTTCTGTGTAAGGGTAGTCATGCTGATTAAAGTCAATAAATGTGATCTGTGAGTTTCAGTGTCATTATTTAACAGTTCTAATGTTCACATGTCCTTCCACCTCTAATGTGCGTTGAAAGAAAATAATGAAAAATGAGCAGTTTGACAGGGAATCGTGTGCTGCGATTGCAGTAAAAACCAGTTTCATGTTATTTACTCAGTTTGTCTTCTTTAATGAGTTTGAGAAATTAAAAGCAATAGTACAACAAAAAATAGTACAACAAAAAACATTTACAAGTTTACAAGCAAACACACAACTTGCACAATTCAAAGAATGGGTGCAGGCAGAAGCATAGGCTTATAAGCCCAACCCCCCAAACCCTTTGAACTTAAGCAAAATTTTTGAATAGCATACCGATTCCATAATTTACACATCATTATTGAAATTTATGGGAATATATTCAAATCCACATTCTTGCTTCATAAAACAATAATGACCTTTAATATTTTATGCATTTTTTTTCATTGACTTGATTCATAATATTTAATCACATTTGATTTAAACATACCCTTAAACTTTACCATTGTTGAACAATCTTTTTGCTCCTGGTCTAATTAATTCCACATATCAACCCCAACACAAGAAATACAAAGTTGTTTCATTTTAGATCTTACTTTAGGCTTTCTAAACATTTTATACCCTCTGAGATCATAAACACACTCTCTGATCTGGAACAGATCCTGAATTTGTTTTGGCATTAAATTATTCATCACTTTATACATAAATTGTGCAGTTCTAAATGTAACTAATTCTCTTAGCTTTAACACTTTTAAATGAAAAAAGTAAATGTGTATGCTCTCTACAAGCTGCTTTATTTACAAGTCGAATTACTCTCTTCTGAATTATAAACAAAGGCTTTAAAGGGGTTTCGTAAGTATTTCCCCACACTTCAACACAATACATGAAATAAGGCAGAATTAAAGAACAATATGTCGTTGTCGTCTTCCTCCACTTATCTGGGTCTGGGTCGCGGGGGCAGCATCCCAACTAGGGAACTCCAGACCATCCTCTCCCCGGCCAACTCCACCAGCTCCTCTGGCAGGACCCCAAGGCGTTCCCGGACCAGACTGGAGATGTAACCTCTCCAACGTGTCCTGGGTCGACCCGGGGGCCTCCTGCCGGCAGGACAGCCCCGAAACACCTCCCCAGCGAGGCGTCCAGGAGGCATCCTAACCAGATGCCCAAATCACCTCAACTGACTCCTTTCGATCCGGAGGAGCAGCGGTTCTACTCCGAGTCCCTCCCGAATGTCCGAGCTCCTCACCCTATCTCTAAGGCTGAGTCCGGCCACCCTACGGAGGAAACTCATTTCAGCGGCTTGTATCCGCGATCTCATTCTGTCGGTCATTACCCAAAGCTCATGACCATAGGTGAAGATTGTGACGTAGGTCGACCGGTAAATCAAGAGCCTGGCTTTCTGGCTCAGCTCCCTCTTCACCACGACAAATCGGCTCAGTGTCCGCATCACTGCAGACGCTGAACAAATCCGCCTGTCAATCTCCCGATCCCTCCTACCCTCACTTGTGAACAAGACCCCGAGATACTTAAACTCCTCCACTTGAGGTAGGACCTCTCTCCCGACCCGAAGTTGGCAAGCCACCCTTTTCCGGTCGAGAACCATGGTCTCTGATTTGGAGATGCTGATCCTCATCTCAGCCGCTTCACACTCAGCCGCAAACCTATCCAGCAAGAGCTGAAGGTCAGAGCTGGATGAAGCTAAAAGGACCACATCATCCGCAAAAAACAGAGAAGAGATTCTCCTGCCACCAAACTCGACACACTCCACACCAGGCCTGCGCCTAGAAATTCTGTCCATAAAGGTAATGAACAGAATTGGTGACAAAGGGCAGCCATGGCGGAGTCCAACCCTCACCGGGAATAGGTCCGACTTACTACCGGCTATGCGGACCAAACTCACGCTCCTCTGGTAAAGAGACAGAATGGCCCTTAACAGAAAGCCACCCACCCCATACTCCTGGAGCGTCCCCCACAGGGTGCCCCTGGGGACACAGTCATAAGCCTTCTCCAAATCCACAAAACACATGTGGATTGGTTGGGCAAACTCCCATGCCCCCTCCATCACCCTTGCAAGGGTATAGAGCTGGTCCACAGTTCCACGGCCAGGACGAAAACCACATTGCTCCTCCTCAATCTGAGATTCAACTATCGATCAGACCCTCCTCTCCAGTACCTTGGATTAGACCTTTCCAGGGAGGCTGAGGAGTGTGATCCTCCTACAGTTGGAACACACCCTCAGATCACCCTTCTTAAAGATGGGGACCACCACCACGGTCTGCCACTCCACAGGAACTGCCCCTGATGACCACGCAATGATGCAGAGACATGTCAACCATGACAGCCCTACAACATCCTTAGCCTTGGGATACCCAGGACGAATCTCATCTGCCCCCGGGGCTCCGCCGCTGTATAGTTGTTTGACTACCTCAGGAACTTCTGCCCCCAAGATTGGACAGTCCATCCCCAGGTCTCCCGGCTCTGGTTCCTCCTCAGAATGTGTGTAGGTGAGACTGAGGAGCTCCTCAAAGTATTCCTTCCACCGTCCGACTATAGCCCCAGTTGACGTCAGCAGCTCCCCATCCCCACTGTAAACAGTGTGAGCGAGTTGCTGCCTTCCTCTTCTGAGGCGCCGGACAGTTTGCCAGAACCTCTTTGGAGCCGATCGATAGTCTTTCTCCATGGCCTCACCAAACTCCTCCCATGCCTGAGATTTTGCCTCGGCAACTGCCACTGCTGCACCCCACTTGGCTATCCGGTACCTGTCTGCTGCCTCCGGAGACCCACAGACCAGCCACACCCTGTAGGCCTCCTTCTTCAGCCTGATGGCTCCCCGAACCTCTGGTGTCCACCAGCGGGTACGGGGGTTGCCACCACGACTGGCAACGGCCACCTTGCGACCACAGTTAGCAACAGCCGCCTCAACAATTGCAGAGTGGAACAAGGCCCACTCGGAGTCAATGTCCCCCACTGCTCTCGGGATGCGGTCAAAGCTCTGCCGGAAGTGAGAGTTGAAGACCGTCTTGACAGGTTCTTCTGCAAGGCGTTCCCAGCAGACCCTCACTATGCATTTGGGTCTGCCAGGTCTACGTGGCATCTTACCCTGCCATCTGATCCAACTCACCACCAGGTGGTGATCAGTTGACAGCTCCGCTCCTCTCTTCACTCGGGTGTCCAAAACATACGGCCACAGGTCTGATGATACAACTACAAAGTCTATCATTGACCTGCGACCTAGGCTGCCCTCGTACCAAGTGTACAGATGGGTATCCGTATGTTCGAACATGGTGTTCGTTATGGCCAAACTGCGGCTTGCACAGAAGTTCAATAACGAAACACCACTCGAGTTCAGATCAGGCAGGCCATTCCTCCCAATCACACCCCTCCAGGTCGAGCTGTCATTGCCCACGTGAGCATTGAAGTCCCCAGCAGGACAATGGAGTCCCTTGATGGAGCATTATCTAGCACTCGTCCCAGGGACTCCAAAAAGGGTGGGTACTCTGAACTGACATTTGGCCCATAAGCACAAACAACAGTCAGGACCCGTTTCCCTACCGGAAGGCGCAGGGAAGCTACCCTCTCATCCCCCGGGGTAAACCCCAACACACAGGCAGAGAGTCTTGGGGCTAATAAGAACAATACAAAAGATATAAAGCTTTTTCATATAAAAATTCTTTTACTTTATAGAGAACTGCTAATGATTTAGATAACTTAACTGTAATTGAGTCAATATGTGTTTTCCAACTTAACGTTTTCTATGGTTATGCCAAGAAATGTTATTTCATTCAATCTTTCAATTTCTGTATATTTTTTATTTTGAGATGTGTATCCACTGTAATTGCTCTATTAGTAAATATGTCAAATTTTGTTTTATTTAGATTTAAAGTTAATTTATTTAAATTAAACCAACACTTTAATGCATTTAATTCTCTCTCAACCTTGTCCATTAATGTTATTAAATCTTTCCCAAAACTTAGAACATTAGTATCATCTGCAAATAGTATGAAATGCAATGTTTTAGAAAATAAACATGCATCATTAATATAAAGAATAAATAACAAAGGACCTAACACTGACCCCTGTGGGATACCGTGGTCATTATCAGTAGCTGTGAATCAGTGTTGTTAATGGGGACGTATTGGAGTCTGTTCTCTAAATAATTCTTAATCCAGTAAAAGGCCACGCCCCTGATGCCATATCTACACAATTGTTTGATTAATAAGTCATGATTGACAGTATCAAAAGCTTTGGTCAGGTCTAAGAACACCCCAACAGCATATTGTTTGTTGTCAATTGCATCAGATATTTTCTCCACTAGATCAACAATTGCCAGAGAAGTTGTCCTATCACGTCTAAAACCCTATTGCTGTTCACAAAGAATACCATGATGCACAATAAAGTCAAACAATCTTTCATGAAACATTGTTTCTAGTATTTTGGACAACTGAGATAAAATAGAAATTGGTCTATAATAGAAAAGTCATGTTTGTCTCCAGCCTTATAGATAGGAATGACTTTTGTAACCTTCATCCTTTCAGGAAATCTTCCTGACTGGAGAGACTGATTACAACTATGTGTAAGTGGTTTGGCTATAATCTCAATGATTTATTTTACAACAGACATATCAGATCCTTGCAAATCTGCTGACTTTTTACTTTTAAAATTTTTAACAAGTGTTAAAACTTCATTTTCATTTGTGCCTTGAATAAATATGGTTTTATCTAAATTTGTTATTTTACTTACAGCATCAGCATCCAATTCAGTATTTGCTACATCCTTTGCCAAATTTGGCCCATTTTCAGTTAAATACTTATTGAATTCATTTGCTATTTCTTTAGACTGATACATTTTTGATTATCTTTTGTTAGAAAAATATTTGGAAAACTATTGGTGCCACTACCCTTTTTTATTATATCATTTAATATGTGCCATGTGTTTTTAATATTAGATGTATTTCCTTCCAATAATTTGCTATAATAATTTATTTTACTAGATCT